TATATATATATATAAAAGAAAATGATCTTCAAACGTAAATCATATCTAAAATTAAATCACTTAATAATGCGGCTCTTAATAACCATAATTAGAGAACCATGCCTATTGTATTATTTTTTCAAAAAAATGCCCATAATTTACTATGCACTAAAATTCTTCTCTTCAATTCAAGTAATAATAAAGCTCTTATTGGTCAATTTTGTTATGTTTCAATCATTGAAGTACCGTGATCCATCCTTTTTGTGGTACATTCATATTTGATGGTTATAGAGTGCATGCATTAGGTTGTGGTAAAGCATCATAGTGTCATAATCTCCCTTCGTAATTTATTTAAATTTAGTGATATGATGCACTAAGTTTTTCACCTTCAAATTTATTATTTTCTATGTACACTTTTAAACCAAATGGTATTATCCATTATAATAACTACAATAATTTTTAAAAATATTATTAAACCACCTTCAAATTATCATTAAATCATGATCAAATCACCTTTCAACATAATTAAAACTTGATTAAATAAGGAGTAAACACATAAAAAATATTAATGAATCATAAGTGAACCATCTCCTACTAGTAGCAAAACATCTTTAAATCCTCTTTGAACCATGGTTAAACATCATCAAACTATCTTTGAACCTTCTTCAAACTTTCAAATAAGACTCACAAAATATTCAATCATGGTTCACATAAAGGTTTGATCATGAACATGAGATAATTTGAAAATGGCTTAAAGTTGGTTCGATCATAGTTAAAGATGGTCCACTTATGATTTAAAGTTCTTCAACTCTAATTTAATTTTGATTTGATCATAATTTAATCATTTTCAATAATGGTTTAACCATAAAATTATTATAATATAACTTATTTTATTTCTCATTATTTTTTTAATTGAGTTATTTTGGTTAATGTCTTCTATTATCATATTTATAGAGAGGCATTATTAAATTGCACTACATATAAAGAAGTGGTTGTGGTACAAAGAAGTATTAGAAAATTTGAGTTTAATGGCATTATGATCAAGGCTAAGTGATCCCCATTCAGTTAGTTTGTCAAATTTCAAGAAATATTTTTCTTTGGGGATCAAATTCATAACCTATAATATTCAATACTAGAGGTAAGGACATAAAAATTGCAATTGCTAAAATTACAATGGTCACTAAAACAATGATGAAGTTCTTGGAGCGATCTTGATTAAGCATTAAAAATTTTTCAATGAATTAGAATAAAATATATATGATGAAATATGAAGCTTCACTATTTATTAAGGCTTTATTGTATGAAATTAACTTATCTTGCAACTCAATGCAAACCTCATAGATAATGAAATTTATTCTACGTTTATCCTTATATTGCTTGAGATGTTTAGGTTATTGGAAAACAAGTGGAGTAGTTCCACCACAAATGAGATATCTAGACGCTTAAAAAGGTAAGGTATTTTAATCTTTAACAAAAAATTAACCAGCCTTAATAATTATTTTGTATATATTCTGATGAGCATTTTATACTTTATTTATAATAGTGAATATTAAGCCTCTGCAATACAACATATGATAAACTAGATTTTTTTAAAGAAAATCTTATAGCAGTTATACTTGTTCACAAATTTCCATATATATTTTTATAATGACTATGTAGGTTCTATTTTATTTCATAAAATTGGAGATCCATAAATCGTTTCAAAAAAGATTTTTTATTTACTCTTTCAATGATTCAATGCAAACATTTCTGTCAACTATTATAAATATTAATTTTATGTTTTATGGTTGTCTATGCATACTATTTATGTTATTAATCCAATATATAAATCTTGAATTGTAATCTTTATGTTATGTTATTGTGTTATATTTCTTAAATAACAATATTTTTTTATGACAATTATGTTATATTGCTTGAATTACATTGTATTTATGAAACCTATAATCCACTTCATTTTACTAGTTGTGATTGCAATCTTTCAATATTATAGTCTTAAGACTGTTAGAACACGCAATAATCAACTGTACATAAATTGTATTTGAAAAAAGTTTAAATTCAATTCGAATCATATTAAATTCATGTGCAAACCATGTTCATACCATGATTGAATTTTTCTTGAACATTGCTTCAATAGAGTTTCAACCTATGATTCCAATTCTATTCTAATAAGAGTTAACAAAATTCAAAAACTAATCGAATATGGTTCCAACTTTGAATCATATTTGAATTTTTCACTTGAGGTGAATTTAAAATAAATAATTTGGCATTTTGATTCGTTCAATCTTTCAGGCTCAAATCACTAAGAGAATAAGTATCAATTACATTTTGTTAACTCTATTTAAAATAAATTTTTTTATCTAATAATTCATTTATTTTGAGGAATCACATTATGAAGATTTATGATAAACATAGCTTTATTGATAAAAATATATTAGAATATATAAACATATATTTTTTTTCTATTTTGCATATTTTGCAAGTAGAAGAAGGAGAATATTCAGAAATTCACCAATATAAGGACCGAAGCTTGAACCGGAGGCAACATGAAAGCCAGCGGAGATCGACACACCGAGCTGTTGCACTGTAAACAGATCTCAGCCCAGCGCGGTTGCAATTCTCTACCGGAGGTCGGGATCTCGTCGACGGTAGCCACCGTTTCCCTTTCTATTGGTCAATCATATGTAGCCATTCTCAATTCATCTGCCTACGATTTGCATCTTTCTGTGCAGATCTGAGATACCTAGGCCCTGAGTTGTTCCCTTCTTCGCATTCCATCGTTTTTAGATCTGGATAGCGTCGGATCTCACCTGTCCGGCGTTTTATTTCAACTTTTGATTTTGGATTTCGTATGCAACCGACGGGTAGGGTTTTTGGAGATCCATACTCGTATTAGGGACGGAGCAAGGCAAAGATGCTGACTAAGTTCGAGACCAAGAGTAATCGGGTGAAGGGGCTTAGCTTTCATAGCAAGAGGCCGTGGATCCTTGCTAGTCTTCACAGCGGTGTGATCCAGCTATGGGATTATCGCATGGGAACCCTGATCGACCGCTTCGACGAGCACGATGGACCTGTTCGTGGCGTCCACTTTCATAAATCGCAGCCCCTTTTTGTCTCTGGCGGTGAGAAGTTTACTTGTTTGTTTCTTTTTCCGATGGTCTTTGGTTTACTGTTTTTTGAGATTTTGCTCCGGAAATAGTCTATTGCAGTGCTTAGATCTATGTTGCTTTCTCCTCAATTGCATGTCTGAGTATTCTTTTCATTGCGATGCTTAGAAATATCCGGCTGTTCTTGCAATCGCTTTTAATTGGTTTTATTTATTGCTTTTTAATACTGGATTGTTTTGGATTTTGATCTCTTCCTATCTTATTTATTTATATTTATATGTAGTGCATGATCCAGTGCGTTTTGATGTTCGTAAATGATTTCAGTTTGACTGGCACTGTGAAGCATGCATGTGCACTATCCATCTGCTTATATATATACCGTCTCTTTCTCTGGAACGATAGAAAATTATCTATCAAGGGATTTACAGGAGTTTGTTCATGATAATGATGACATCAACAAGTAAAGTAATGCTGTCTTGCAGGTGATGATTACAAGATCAAGGTTTGGAATTACAAAACTCACCGTTGCTTGTTCACTCTGCTTGGGCACCTTGACTATATTCGTACTGTACAATTCCATGATGAGTATCCTTGGATTGTTAGTGCAAGTGATGATCAAACTATTAGAATTTGGAATTGGCAGTCTCGTACTTGCATTTCAGTTTTGACTGGCCACAACCACTATGTGATGTGCGCATCATTTCATCCAAAGGAGGATCTCATTGTATCTGCTTCTCTTGATCAGACTGTTCGTGTTTGGGATATTGGTGCCTTGAGAAAGAAAACAGTGTCTCCTGCTGATGATATTTTGCGTCTAAGCCAGATGAATACTGATTTGTTTGGTGGCGTTGATGCAGTTGTCAAATATGTTTTGGAAGGTCATGATCGGGGAGTCAATTGGGCATCTTTTCATCCTAACCTGCCTCTCATTGTTTCTGGAGCTGATGACCGGCAAGTGAAACTATGGAGAATGAATGGTAATGCCTACAAAATCTGTGTATCCTCTTTATCATAGTGAGCAATATATTAAATAGTTGTTTAGTGCTAGCTTAATGTTTGCCTGCCTATTATTTTTATACCATCTCCACCACCAAACACACATTAAAAAAAGTAAAGATGCTGTTTTTAGTATTATTCATGTTTTCATTTTTCTATGTTTTGGTGATACATGCAAACAAACAAATTCTTTCCAAATTCATTATAATTGTAAAATGGAATAATAATAAGATTCTAAGAAGTAGTATTATGATTTTTATTCCATTATTTACATGAAGTGAGAGCAGTGACACAAAATGATAATTGCATGGTAAACAATCCTCACAATCTGCATCGTAACTATACCATGGAATGATTGTAAAATCCTATGAAGATGAATTTTCATGTTTTTTAATTATGATGCAAGAGAACTTACACGCCGAATGGGAATAACATGCAAGTTTCTTTTGGAAAAAATTATTAAAATACATGATTATATATGAAACACTTTATTTTCTAAATTTTTGTAATATAAATAAACGTGTTAATAAAAACTTATGTTCTGCTTTCTCTTTTATTAAAACTTTATTGAGAGGAGCAAATTCATTTCGAGCATCTTCACCAGAACTCCAAAATATTTAGAACGCATATGCATAAGTGTATTTCTACCTTAAAATTCGTAATATGTTTCTGAAATTTTTATAAGAAAAAAATTATTTTATTTTTTTAATGTGATAAATCTTTCTTAAGAATTCTTATTCAACATCATGTATGCAGTGGTAAATTATCATGTCACACGGAAGACATATTTCAACATTAAGTTACGGAATAATAAATATCTTAAGTCTAATTATCATCTAAACATATTTAAAAGCATGATCAAATGTGCAATGTTAATTGATGTTATTAAAAATTTCAAATTACATCGACGATAATCATAATAACTTGCACCATTCATCTTGTTCGGTAAATTTAATATAATCTCTATATTAGAAGAGTTTACATGTATTTTTTGTAAAAAATTTAGGGAAAAAAAATGATTCAAAATTTCAATTGATCTAGTTACTTAGCAATTATATATTATCCATAAGTTTCTTTCTTTTAAAATATTGTAAATCCAATTAAGATAGATAAAATCGGAAATTATCTAGCATTTAAAATAGGTATATAATTTGAAATTTTTGCATTAACATATAAAAAGTATTTATATGTGTTGAAATTCTAATTTAAAATGAAAGGATATACATACATACACATACACATACACATATACATATACATATACATAAAGGGAATATATATATATATATA